ATAGCTCACATTTCCTTTTCCCTTTTGTTAATTTTGACTGGGCAAATGTTTTGCAGGTTAGGACCTTTATTTGTAACTATCTGTATTTCCTTATTTTTTTAATGCAAAATGCAATATTTCAAGGCGACCACTGCACCTTATAGGCAGGGTTCAACCCCAGGATCTTACAAACAAAGTACACTCAGGGGAACATTCAAACCGACCCCACCTGAGGGGAAATTGATTAAGAGTGAAGAAAATGTGGAATCAATCCGCATTCCCAAATCCATCCCAGCTAGGAACAAGTGTCACGGGTTTGGACATAGTGAATCAGATTGCACAACCAGGAGAATGATCTCTTTAACTGATCAGGGGGTAGTTGAAGAAAAAATGGTGATCCAGGAAAAGATGAAAAAGTTAGAGAGCATTCTCAACTTCTAAGGAGGAAGAGACACCATCGATTCTAGTTAAATCCAGGAGAGAGATTCCAACTGACTTAATAGTAGTTGTTCTAGAAGACAGTGACATTGAGAGCGTTCAAGCAAAATATGAGGTTGTGGTGCCTTGAACCATCTTTTGGCAAGCGTTGAGAAAGCATCAACAAAACTAACATTGGATGTCTGAAAAAATCATAAGTTTAAAGAGCTGATACCGGACACAAGGCAGCCTCAGACAAGAAGATTTCATAATTTTCAGACATATAGCCTACATCCTAAGTTGCCCCAATGAGGGAGGCTCAGCATATCAAAGATGAGGGTCTTTTGTGTCACTTCTGGATGACTATATGGACTTAGTTGGGTGTTAAAATCTATTCAGAGTATACCTCAATAGATGATCAAGCGGGAGGGATGAGCTTTGAAAATTGTCTTCGAAGCATGATGGGGATAATAATCCTACAATGGGATCTAGGTTATACCTAGGAAGAAGAGAAGAAGAGGCATATCCAAAGTTTTTGTTAGTGAGAGTTGCTCAACCTGCCATAGATTTCATCCCAAAGTTGATTCCTCATTACATACCTGTCTAATAGATACACTGGAACGAGTATGAGTGGAAGAAACCAATTATAAATTTGATGGCTTGAGACTTGGTTAGCGAGGATACCCATCCACGAGCAATTCCAGCTCGAGTTGTGTAAAAAGTGGATGGATACTTGATCTATTAGAACGTGCTTTGGGAAACATCGTCTACAAGAGTGACGTGCCTGAATCCGACAACATTTATGTTACCTTCAATGGGATTGTCCTGATTACCATGAGGAGACAAGGGCTTCGACGAATGAAGTCAAAACTTCACCAATCTCAGGAGACTGACGAGGGAGCACCCATTGCTCCCGACATGGGAGTCCGCAAATGAAGTTGCGTCCCGACTGTTTGCCTGGACCATTTTGGTCCAATTTTTTTCCATTTCGAGTTGATCAGTTCACCTAGGCTAATCCTAGTTATCATATTATTATATAATCGCGTTTTTGATGTTCTAGGTTTAGTTTTTATTGTGAGTTTTGTTTAGAACAACTGTCAACGTCCGTTCTTCTAGATTGTTTGGGTGGTGTTTCAGCTATATCTCTCTCCTGAGACAGTGTTTATCTTCCTCATTCCCCTTCAACATCCTACCCACACTATTTGCCATCGTTCCCTGCTGCAGCCCTCTAAAACAACTATCAATGTTGTTCTTTCTGTAGTTTCTGCATTCCAATCAAAGTTTCTTGCGATTCCAGCACTCGCACATATTGTCATCACTGTTCCAGCCATCATAAATCCTATCCCCTTCCCACCAGCTGCTATTCTAGCCATCTTGGATCACCTACTTGACACCTAACCACTGTCGCAACCCTCCTGCACAACATCTTTGCCACATATTAGTTGTTCCAGCCTATGGGAACCTGAATTCCACCTTGCTGCCACCCAAGACATCAAGAACCTATTGCTTTGTTGTCATATCTGCACACTTGGCACATGCTCCCCACCTTACCGCCACCTTCCAAACCCTCACCGATCATCACCACCACCATCCTGAGAGCCCACCCTAGTTTGAGTGTTTATGTTGTGTCTATTGCTATTTCAGATTTCTGGGTGTCGCGTTGCTATATTTTCTCTTCCAAGTGTATTAGTTGTAACTATATATTTGCTTTCAGTAATAATATTTGATTTTCCTATTTTGGTTTAAATTAACTACGGTATTACAAATATTCACCCAAGATCTACATGATCTCCTTGGATAAAGCAACCATTAACTGTTGACAAAAATAATTTTTATCAGGTTGGGTTGACTATCTATAAAATAATATAATAGAGTATGATCCATAGCCCGGGACAAAATAATATGATCTTGATTGAGTTCATCATCATTCATTCCATCAATAGCTTTAAGCTCAAGATGAAAATTTTCATAATTTGAAACCTAATTAGTGCTATTATACACTGACCAATCAATATCCTAATGACTAGCTTTAATCAAAAGTGTTCTCCTATTATTGAGATGAGTAATTAATCAAAGAGCTTTGCACCAATGGGAGATCTTGAACTTTAGATTTAAAGTTCTAGCAAAATGAAGGCAATCTCAAGTGTTTTATCTACAATTTCATCTATTTTTTAAAAATTTGAATGGAAACCTCAAAGTAAAACATTGCCATTCATTTCAAGAAAGGTTGAGGCATGAATTTTTGAAGCACACTGTATGTTACCTCTATTAAATGTAATAAATTTTATTCCTATAAATCATATTTTTCTATAAAACTAGAATGTCATATTGACTATATAATACCTCTTGAAAACTTGTTAACAAAATATACAAAACGTATATGATTGTGAGAATTGGTGTCGGTCAATGTCACCTTTCTGAATATTCGCTAGATGACTTGATAAGCCCACATAATATGTTCAGAAATTTCAGAGTACCTTGATAAAACAACTATGGATATATGAACAAGTACACAATTGAATGAAAAATAATTGATAAGTCATGTTTGAAGATGTATAATTAAACCTAATATGATTGCACATGAATATTTTAGAATAAAACTGCATTACTTATAGCCTGTCATGCAAATGATTACGAACAACAACATACTAGGAAAAAAATTAGAGTATGTAATATATTTTATTAATGCATTATAATATTACTACATAATGATATGATGACACCAATAATTATTATATATAATGATTCATGCCCATTTTATTATTTATGCTTCAAACCACAGTATCATGCTATTTATACTTTAATAAATAGGAATTGCTTATTGGAATGAAATACCAATGTTTGTCATGATAATTTTTTTCTTATAGCAAGTTCTACTAGAGTGCTTGGGTGACAATCATCACAGAAACAAATTTTGACTCAATAGAATTTCATTTGATATTTTTAAATTTATACTGTAACTTTATTTGTACTTCTGTTGTGTGCAACTAGCTTTCTTTATGCAGTTGTTTCTCCCACCTTCTTCTACATTAGTTGTTGTTCGTGCTTTTTTGTTATAATTTTATTATGAATTTTATTAATGGAAAAAAAATATTAGTTACTTTGCTTTCTCTTACTTTATAATTACTTACATATAAGTATTCATACAAAATAAGTTTGAATCAATCTTGACTCTTGAAACTTATTGCAAGAGTTGAGATCTTTGAAGAGTTGAGATCAAACCCCTAATTAGTATCCTATTTTATTAGGATTTACTGCCCTCCAGACCTCAGTTGTCATAAAAGCTATAGTTTGGTAAGGCATATATAGCATTAATTTTACGAGTCCTATAACAAAAAATCGATAAATTGCATGGATAGGCAAACCAATCCTTGTCATAGGAAAAACATAGAAGTAGCCACTTTAAGATGGAGATCTCGTTCCCTTCAGTTATACTAATAGCCATATAGAAGCTATAGCATCCCGCAAGACAACGCATGAATACAGAAATGATGAAAAAGTGTGACTATAGAACTGCCAAAGCAATTTCAGCTAGCAAACTTAATAGCGCATCTCTTACCACAGCACTAATAGTCGATTAACTCCTAAAATAAACAAGCTAAGCATATTTAATACCCATACATAGATCACAAAATTGACAGCAGCAGCCTGTGTCCTAAACATCCCCTTAAGCCAAATTGAAGTATATTTCAATCAGAATAGATGCATTCTGATAAAAGAAAATACAACCAATCTCATTAACAAATCATCACATGCATGTTAAAATAAATAAATTAAAACTAAAATGTACAAATAAAACCACAAAATAAGTAAATCATTGCTTAAATAATTTATTTGCTCGATGTTTCCAAAGAGTGTAAACTTACAAATCTACATCAATTATTAAGATGTAAAGAATGCTCTTTATATCAAACAGCTATTGGTAGATAGTTTGAGGGTTTAAAAGTGAATATTCGAAGTTGTATTTAAAAGAATTGCAACCCACGGTTCGCACCAATATGAATAATGAAAAGTTCTTGTCGGAATAGGAATGGTTGTCAAATCTGTATTTAAACCATTTATAAACCATGAGGTGGCACCAATAAAATAAAAAAGTTTTATTCTGAGTCGGAACATCTGATTTTATAAGTACTTATAATAATCCAGACACAAAAAACATGTTTGGCAAGCATCTATGATCGGCAGTTGTTTTTTTTTTCTAACCTGCCGAAGAAATAGCCCACAGAAGTTCTACAGAATATCTGAACTTTAATTGGAAAGTTGATATTTAAAACAGCAAAAGATTCATGAAAGCTACATAGAAGCACCTTGGAATAGGGGCTCTTTTGTCAACTATGCATTACATTCTTACTATTAATGCCTGTTGACTAAGCAAACAAGCCTTAACAAATGAACAGTATAAACAATTCTCAATGAACCCTCAAAATTAGACAATAGAAAAATAATACTCCAGGTAAAACAAAAAGGCACAAGCCTTTCCCGTTGCAATATGTAAAAATTGATTAAGGTTAGACAAATGGTGAATGCAAAAAAGAAGAACCCAAAGAAAGAAAAACACATTTGTAGAAAACTAATAACAAGTAATATCAGCCAATGATAGTCACCTTGGACGAATAATATTTGTCCCGGAAATAACTACAGATGAAGCCCGTCCATGATAAGCAACAGGAAGGTGAAACCTGATGTTTTTTTCACGTATTAAACATGGATGGTAATTAATCTGATGCAATTCATAGATAAAAATTCTAGCAAGTGAATAAGATAATTCTAGACAAACTATAGGATAAGATGAGAAGTAAATAGGAGCAAAAAGGTCAGAAATGGGGCGCTTAAGGGTTTAAACATAAAGATGTCACCAACATACACATATTAAGTACCATAACCTGCAAACTAAGTTTAATATTTAGCTCAAACTTGTAGTTTGAGACAGAATATTACATCAAAATGATAGAAAAAGATAACTAGATTTAAATATCTTCATGTAAAAGTTTTGATGGAGCTTGATTACCTCAACTACCAAATAAATATTTCAATTTAGATGAATCTTAATTATTTTGAAAAAAACAATAAAAATGCTATTTTTCTAGCTCATGGGAGGGAGAAAAATTGTGAGGTGAAAAGGGATTGCAAATCTTAGATAGAGATTATCATACTTTGAAACAGCAAGCAAGGATATTCATTGGCCTTTGGCTGGTAGATGGGTAGTGCATGACCTATAATGATGATGGCATTCTAGCCATATAGTAAAAATATGATAAGAAAAGAATTGTCAACAAGAATAGAGAGGGCAATGGGCTACGAGAGGGTGATTGGAAGAACATCCAACTCAATTTGAGTGGTGATGGCCAGCATAAATAAAAGAAATGCATGAGAGGGCTTGCAAATGTTAGGAAAAAAAATCATGGAATTATTTGAATGCAACTGCCAGAAACAAATATGATAAAAACACAAAGTAAATGATAAAAAAACCAAGCACAACAAAAAAATACCAAGTATATGATTCTGCCCAAATACTAGCTTACATCTAGGAAAAAGGAATTGATTTAATATGAAGAAGCCATAGAAGTGCTTAAATAACAGAGGCACAATAAAAAGTTTCCCTCAAAATCAAATACACTCACCCTCGCCACAAAATGAAGCGTCAAATCTATCTGACTAAACAAAAAGGAAAACCTTATGATATTTGCAGAAATAAATGAACCGAATAAAGGTAATAAAGATAGGAATCTAAGGCGCAACTATTATCAAATGACCCTCAAAAATAACACCACACATGCCTCCTCTCTCTACGTATCTCTCCCTCAAATGTTTCATAGTTACAGAGGGCAGAAATCATCGCCTCCAACTTATATTTAGAAGATTTTAGGAAGGTAAAAATTTAATTGCATTGATGGTTAGTTTTGATTTGTATGCATCAAGATTTCTTTCAAATACTATATACCAAGGAGCCTCACAAAGGTTTAGACACGCCATTCAATATCTCTCTTGTTTCTCATTGGCATAGCCTCTTAGCAGCTAAGGTTTCTTGGAAGACTTCACAACTTTAGCAATGCATGCGAGCAACGACTTCGTTGAGAATTTTACTAGGATGAGTTTGAATCCAAGTAACAAAATTAGAAGAATAACTTAAATAGTATCACTGTTTTTGCTCTATGCTTTGTCGACTTCATTATTATTTCAAAACAATATAATTCAAACAAGGTCATGCTAGGGGTGTAAAAAAGAATCAAAAGTGCATTGTATCCTAACCAATTAATACAAATTGCTACTCATTGAAGCATTTGTTTAATATGGATAGTTGCAGATAGTTCATTATTTTTGACAAAATATGTAAACAAGTCTTAAGTTGTTTAATCTAGAATGACGTAAAACCTCTTACCTCTGCGGGCTATTTACATAACTAGTTATTATGCAAATGTAAGTCCCAAATAATAAAATTGACGGGATTCAACATTCAAATAAAATCTCTAAAGCACAGCCACACAGCAGGATAGTTTGGGAGATCACTGAGGATTCCCCTCAGAATCTATGACATCCCCTACCTTTTACTTCCTTTGTTTTACTTCCTTTGGACTCCTTACTTCCTTTGGACTCCTGAAAGGAATGTTCTTACTTGAGTCATTCTCACTTATTTTTCCACGTCCTATCTTGAAAACCTGAACTTTAAATTCTTGAAGACTAGAACCACTGATCATTATCGAGAGTTTTCTCAAGTGATTCCCGTCACTTAGGATGTAATTAACTATAGGGGTTTGCCTCCATAGGGAACTTGGAACCCAGGTAAAATAAACTCTATTTAATCTTTGTATTAAATAGGGGAATCTGTCAGTCACATATAAAAAGTTCGCAGACCAAATGAATGTCACAAATCTCTTAGTTTGCAGGATCGGGCCTATTATCGGGGTCGACACTTTTCTCTTGGAATGTGTAGTATTCAGGGTGTCAGTCATAGTATTCAGGGTGTCAGGCACGATTATGCAAATTATTGGACTAAACAGATCTATTCGGTCTCATTTCCTAAAAAATTAAAATACTACTTTCATAATCTAAACCTTTTACCTTATATATATTTAAATTAAATTTTTCACATCGAAAAAGTTGACCGACAACCTTCAATTTAAATTTGGGCCGTAAATTGTTAATGATAAAAAGTAGGTATAGAAAATCTTAAATTTCACCGTCCGATCATTTGTGTCAGTCTTAAAAATTTTAAACCTCTGAGCCGGGTCGTGACATAAGACCAAAGCATGGGCCTATTAATTAATCATATTTTTGCATGAGCTTCAGTTAAATTATGAGTTTGACTCGGCTTGAAAATGAGCTCATTTATTATATAAGAAAAGATTACTAAAATTTACGTATTTGTAATAAAATAATACAAATATAAGAATTACATCACAAAATAAGGAATCAGTAGAGATTAGAAAGAAGTAAAGTGCTAAAATAGTCCTCGACTATTTGAATGGGTCATTTTGATCCCAAAGTTTATAGAAGTGCCAAAACAATTTACGACTATTTTAAAATTGAGCTCTAATAGTTCTTCATAAAGACTATTTCAGCCCCAATTTACTGAGTTTGAGACTATTCTAACACTATAAACGCTAGGACTAAAATGAACCCATTTAAATAGTCGGAGATTATTCTAGCTCTTTACTTGATTAGAAAAAGATAGAACTTTTGAATATAATTTATAACTCTATAAATAAATACTTGAATTTTAATTTATTTAAATGTATATTATATTAACATTTTTAAATGAGTCGGCTTAAAAGTTGATGAGTCAAGTCGGGATTAATTCAAGCTTTAGTTAGCAAGCTCAATTAATGAGTCATTTATCAAATCAAACCTCAATCAAATCATTAGTTGGATTGCTCAGTTACACCCAAGGTTGGGAAAATCAGATCGAATATCAAACTAAAAAAAGGAAAGGTCTAAAGCTTATTGGTTCGACCGGGTTTGAAATGGGGGTTGAACCGGATGATACAATAAATATAAAAATTAATTAAATATTACCTTAATAATAAAATAATGATATTAAAAACATATATATAAAAAACTAAACAAACAAAATACAACAACAATTTTTTAAGTTTTTAAAACAAATAAATAGTAATCCAAAATATGGAGTGCATTTATAATAGAGCCATCAAGCATTCTTCCACATGTCCCTGTAATCCTCTCTCTCTATATATATATATATATATATATAATACCACTTGTATTTTCACAAAAACGGTTGTAATTTAAAAATGACGAGAAAAAAATAATATCATGATCTTCAAAAGAGTGAATCGATTCACCGATTTCTTGGTTAAACCGGTTCCGAGCTGTTTAATGATATAATCGGTCCATTGTGTGATTTAGACTGGACTAGGCACCGTTTCACCATCAAACCCAAACTACAATAAAGAAAGCAAATATTATTGCTAAAAAGCAAATAGATGTTACAATTAGAGACACTTGGATTTAGAAAATAACAAAGACTCAACACAAGCTCAACTAGAGCTAATGGTTGAAGACGGTGGTGCTGGAGTTTAAGTAGAAATAGTAATTGAAGCGGGTTTGGTGGTGGACGACAGTGAAGCCTTAGGGTGGTGGAGGCAGCAAAAAGGTTGTGGTAGTAAGTGGTAGGTGGTTGGAAGTGGCGACAATAAGTTGGAGGTGGTGGGAAGAGGACAATAACAGGTTGGAGGTGGCTGGAAGGGGCGACAGCAGGTTGGAGGTGGCTGGAGGAGCCGACAGCAAGCATGTGGTGGCTGGAAGGGGGCAGCAGCAAGTAAGTAGGTGGTTGGAAGGGGGTGACAACAAGCTCGAGGAGGCTAGAAGGGCTGAAAACGAGGTGGAGGTGGCTGGGAGCGATGGTTAGCTACAAGAAAATAGCAAAGAGATTGTTTTCCAGGTGGTGGCAACGACCACGGTGACAGAGGCAATGGAGGAGGGCTAGTAGGAAGTAAGGAGCAATAGAAAAACACAACCTTAGTATGAGTTAAAGCCGGCACATCTTCTTGCATTTGGATACAGCCCTAGGAGTAAACAAGGAGACACCAACGTCAATCTTGATAGAAAACCCATAAAAATTGAAAACTTAAGACAAAGAAAAGACAAATATAAGCCCAAGAAAACTAGGATTGGATCCCCTCATAGAAAGGGGCCGCCAATGCACGATAAAAGGGCCATCGACCCTCCCGGATCTGGACTAGTTCGGTCCAGAAGAAGTAATGCACAGAATTTTCCTGCGGCTCCCTATATGCCCGCACCAGCGTCAGTCTCCCCGGGTTGAGGGAGTTTCGACCTCATTCATCAAAGCTTTCGGGTCCTCATAGTATGGAGTAGTCTGTCACGTTAAAGGTAGTAGAAACATTGTAATTCCCTGGCAAGTCGATCATATAAGTGTTGTCATTTAACTTATTGAAGATCTTGAAATATCTGTTTGCTCTGGAATTGAGTTTCCCAAATGATCCTGTGAGAAACCTCTCTTCCTTCAGTCTCATCCAGACTAAATCTCCCTCCTGAAAAGTCACATCTTCCTAGTATTATTAGTTTGCATATGGTACTTGTGATTCTGTCCGATGATCTCTTTCCCGACCTTCTCTTTTAGCCTTTAAATCTTCAGTACCCTCACCTTAACTTTCATACTAACATCCGACATAGGAAGAACTGGTACTAGCTTCAGTGGAGT